ACAATTCCTTGAACTTTTTAAGACAAGTGAATAGATATGATGTAGGGGGGAGGGGAGAGAGGGAGGGGGAAGAGGAGTGGGTAAAGGGTCATGAAAATCAACTACAATGTATACTGAGAAGTTAAAATTTTTTTAAAAAATATAATCTGAGAATCATCATTGATTATCTGTATTCAGCCCTTGGATTCTTAAACATTGTGTTAATATATTGGCTCTTTCTGAATAAATTCTTGGTATAATTGTCAATAAATAAATAAATAAAAAATAAATAAACTGTCTTATGTTGTTCAGAGCTTAAATGAAGAGTACGTGTTTTGCTGATGAGTTCTCTGTATCTCAAATGAGTTTCTGGATGGCTGCTTAAGAAATCAAATATTTGCAAGTAATGGTCCCTGAAGAGAAGAATGCTAAACAGAAACCAAATTATGCCTAATCAAATCCACATCTTCTGCCATAGCCAGACTGCTCCGGGTTTACCTTGGGCTTCTTAGCATTGTATTTGTCCAAAAGAGTCTGGACTCGGGCCCCATAGTCAGGGTGGACGTCAGTGAAGTTCTTGACCTAAAACCAAATGAAAATAAACATAAGCATTACCCTAACCCCCTACTATACCACTCTGCAGTGTCTGTTTCACAATATTTATTCGACAGGGAGAAAGGACATTCCAGTAGGAAGTAGTACCATATGTTGTTTAAGGATGGAGACCTTGGGGTAAGACTTGGGTTTCCAGTGAACACTCTGGCTAAGTAACCCTGGATAAGTTACTTATCGAGCTTCAATGCCCCTTTCTCTAAATAAGCAAGATAATTACACCTACATGGTATAATAAAAAAATAAATATTTGGTCTTTGTCCCCCACTCCTGACACAGAGCTCCTAAAACCCTTGGAATTCACTGTCTTTTGTATGCTATTGGGATTACCCATGGGGTGAGGTGGAGGAAGGGAGGGTTGTCCTAGATAGCTTCAGGTTGGAGGTTGGTGCCAGAAAGATCAGGCATGTGATTAAAGGTTAGAACTTTCAGCCCTACCCATGAACCTCCAGGGAGGGAAGAGGGGCTGGAGATTGTGTTCAATCACACACAGCCCATGATTTAATCAATCATACCCATGTAATGGAACCTCCATAAAAACCCCTTAATGGCAAGGTTCAGGGAGCTTCTGGGTTGGTGAACACATCAAGGTGCTGGAGGGCAGCGCACCCAGAGAGGCCTGAAAGTCCACAGCCTTCCCCCATACCTTGCCTGATGCATCTTTTCCACTGGCTGTTCCTGAGTCGTACCCTTTATAACAAACCAGTAATTATAAGTAAACCACTTTCCTGAGTTCTGTAAATTTTTTCAGCAAAACATCAAACCTGAAGAAGGGTCATCAGAACCCCCACATTTGTAGTCAGGATTTACAGCTCTGTAGGTAGCCGGGGCACCTCATATGGCGTTTAAAGTGAGAGCAGTCTTGTGGGGCTGACCCCTAAATCTGTGGGTTCTGATGCTAACTCCAGGAGTTACTGTTGAACTGAATTGAATTGTAGGACCCCCCAGTTGCTGTCAGAGAATTAGATAATTTCTTGTTGTTAAGAAAAAAAAACACAATCTACCTCACAGAATATTGTGAGAAAAGCATATGAGGTGAGCTGCATTTACTGAATGTAAAGAACTGACATTA